GTGTGGGGGGGGTGGGGGGGGGGGGCATTTTCTGGAAAGAGACTTGTCTGGACACGTCACTATATGCGATAAACAGCAGCGGAAATATTTTCTTCTCTCTCCTCTGAGTCTGAGGTAACATCTTCATACCGGACACAACTAACTTCAGCTGTCAGCTCCACAGTTGTTACGAACAGCACATGGCATATACATATTTTTTTTTGGAAATTTTACAAAAACGCTGTCTCCCATGAGGACAATTTCCCTGAACTGGAATGTTTTTGCTTTGTCTCTCCGTCACTTAATTTTTTCAAATCAAATCTTTCTGTGTCAAAATTTTGTTTAGTTCGTCTACTTACTGAAAGCCGCTCCCTCACTTTTGCTACCACCAGATAATGATCAGTGTCGCAATCTGCTCCTCTGAATGATCTCACATCAATTACATTTGTTCTTGACACTTATTACTGTCACAAATGGAAATTCATTAGTTTCTTTAGAGGTAAAACTGATTCCCAATTCAACAATACTCTGAAATAAAATGGAAGTTATCCATGGATTCCACTATTTTAAAAATAATGTTTATAATCTCCAATCACGATACTCACGCTTCAATAGCGTCAATGACAACAGGTAAATCGTTTCGCCCAATTTCATGGAATGGTATTATAATTTGCCTTGCATCGAGCATCTTCAATACAACATGACGTCCACGGAAGTCTGTGAAGAGTCGTATTACTTCTTCAGTACAGAGGAATGCTGTATTAGACACATTGATCAGATGAACCGTTCTTCTTGCAATTTCTGCAATAACAAAATCAGAGATTATTTAAAATGAAATAAAAGAACAAGAATTCTTGACCTGCTCAGCTTTTTGATTAGCTGAGTATACTATCAACTTCTCAGGAAGGATTCTGCTCCATAGAGTTCATTACACAAGATTAGCACATGACAAAACCTTTGTATGCATATGAAAATACTTGATTTTAGAAAAGAAACTAAACAGATGACTGTGAAATAAATCATCTTAATTAACTTAATTATAAAACAATATTTATTCAGAGTAACAGCAGAGAATATTTCTGACTCCATACTGTTTGAAGAATACACAGTAACAATGGAAAAAAAATCATTTTACATAATCAAGCAGAGGGCAAGTGTACTCAGTGGTGGCACGCATAGATTCCATAGGATTTTATCAAACATGATAATTATCTTCCTTACAAGTGACACCATCAACAGTCAATAATAATTCTACTACCAAAAAGAATGACAATGTTTACCAAAAAATTTGTTATTGAGGAAAACATAATCGTGGCTCTTTCATGGATATAACTATGTAAAAATTCTTAGGTCATTGCAATATAAATTACATAAATTTTGTCATGAATCCATTTCTTTCACATAGTGAATTATTTTTTTTAGAAATCTGATACTGTCTGACTTGAGATTTGTATAAAACAATGATTATCATGAATCAAAATAAAATCCAGAAATCTCAAATGCCAAATTTCATTAAAATATGCCAACTGGTTTGGGAGAAGAAATGTGGAGGGATACATGGACAGGTATGACCTCCCATTACATGTTATATTTACGCATAGAGTACAAATAATTCACAATATGTATGCCATTGTTCATGCACAATTAAAGTCCACAAGAAGTTCAAGAAGAAAATAAAATCTCATTTATAAACAGCACCAAAGTTTTTAAAATAATATTCACACAAGTACCAGACAGATTAGTCATGCTTAATAGCAGCTGTGTGATTATTAGAAATATGGGTAAAGAATGTGCAAGTTATACCACAAAATTTAATAATACTGATTGTAAGTCATGAACCCTACATTTAGGGGATGCATATATTGAAAAAAGGTGTGGCTTATAAAAAACACACACACACACCTGTCCCACTATAAGCCATGTAGGTGCTTGTGAGGAGAGGAGGTATAGCTCGAACTCAATCTTAGCCTCAGCACTAGATGGGAGTGAGTAGTTGGTGTCATGCCCTGGCCATGTTTTACCCCCAGGAAAGAACTCTGGTACCCGTTGGATAGGAGGCTGGGTGGGCCCCAGAGCCAGTCTGGACGCAGAGGCTAGAGGAAAAATCCTCTGCCCCCCATCGGGGATCGAACCCCGCTTGTCCAATCCATAGCCAGTCACTATACTGACTGAGTTACCCCAGCTCATTACAGTGTGGCTTGTATTCATACAAAATATTGTAACACAGAATTAAACAAATTTGCTGAACCCTGTGTATTATCATGTTACTAAGTGACCAAACTGACAACATTCTGAATCAAATCATGTTCTCAGTAAATATTGCAATGGATCTGCTTTCAGAACTTACCAATCTCCTTTACATAGTGTGGTTCCAGTACAGACCACTGCTCTTGTTCACTATCATCGTCACTTCTATAACATAAAAGAAACAATTATTTCCATGAAAATTTCCAAGGATATCACACTAGAAAAGTTCAAATATTCTTTCAGCATTTATACCTCGTCTTGCTAAGACTCTTGATCATAATGTTAAGAGGTGTAAAGTTTAGAATGTATCTAGCAAAGCAGAATGTTATACTTCACATATTAAACTGGTAAAAGAAAGAGATTTAAACCATCTGCTCTGGTACTGTCAACACACCTAACTTACTAAAATATTATGTAAGGAAGAGTATTTAAATCAACTGGACTGTTACTATCAAGATACAGTGAATTTAACTTGCATGAGAGTTAATACCAAATTTCCTTTCACACAGTACACTGTTTTACCATGTCTAATCTGAATGAAAATTTGAACACAAGTCTTGGCAGTAATTCAAACACAAATAATAGAGGAAATGCCACTACTAAAATTAGGTTATGTTAGCTTAAGTTTAGTTTAAATGTGTTGACAGATAAAACTAACATGCACAGTTAAGACAACTTCAAACCTATTAACTAATGTCAAGCTAATATATTATATGTTACTTATGTCACATAGCTCATATCAAAGTTTTATAGCATTTCTAAAGTATTCAGTGGAACTCTACAGCGCTTGGCGCTAGAAATATAGGAATATTGGCCAATTATCATAATCCACTCTCCCAAATTCTCACAGCAAGTTTCAACATAAATAACATTTTTATAAAAGATATTAAAAAAACTGTGTGAAATATTAAGATCGAGACCAAAAGATTCACATGAAAATATTATTTTGGGCCTTATGCCTTATATTTGTCAAATGTAGTATTTTATATTTTAAATGACATAATTAACCCAATACCATATAATTATGTAATACATAACTAAATTTTCAACACTATTCTACTAAACACCCTATCCTTCCTCTGGTTATGTGTCCAGGGCCACAGGTCAAATCATAAAATTTATCTTGAAGCATATACAAATTTAAAAAACCTGACTTACAATAGTTACAACTGATTCAGTATGAATGATAGAAGGACTCCTGAAATACAGCTTCACTGACAGAATCTATTTTCCCAAAATTTTGCAATATACATCTCACAAAAAATATATTTATCAGAGATATTAACTGAGCACTAAATATTAACACCAGGAAACAAATGACAAAGGTCAAAATATTATGTGGACTATGGAGTCTTTCTTCTGGAAACAGATTTTCCTTAAGAGAACCCTAAAGGAAAAAAGTCGCAGGTGTTCATGTCTGAGCAACTGGGTGGCCACCCAGTTTCCTGGACATAAACCAGTCTAACTTCTTCCCTTGGGGTTACCTCAGCAGGGGAGAGAGAGGAAGAAGAAAAGAAAAAAAGAAAACAAAACAAAACAGCCTCATAGTTATATATGTACCATTACATGAATATTAAAACTTTCATGCAAACTTTTCATGTGCCATCCTGTATATCACACCATTCTATTCTTCATCTAATGATGGGGCCTGAGCCAAACAGTCAGACTGTAAAATCATCCAGAAACATATATAAGTTTAAAACACCTGATTTACTTTATGACTTGTTCCTTCAACAGTACAGATATTAACATACCTGTATATTTCATCTGAATCAAATGACAAATCTTCAATTTGTTCTCCACTTTCTTTCATACACTCCTGCTCATCAATGCCATCAGGATCAGACTTCATAATATGTGATTTCACTTGAACAGTGTCCATGCTATAAGTAAACTCTGTACACACAGTGTTATTAGAAGCTTCACTCAGTACAGCAAATTTATTTTGTTTTTCTTCATCTCTAACTTGACTCAACACTGTCACTTCCTTTTGAGATGCAATACTATCTACTGCTGGTTGTGAACTGCTATGAACATGAATGCACATCTGTGGATTAATTTGATTACTAACAGGTGAATAACTAACACCAGGTGATGTCACAGACAAACATTCTTTGGTACCAGTATCAGATGTTTCAACAGAATCTCCAATCAAAAGTTTTGTAGATACTGATGACTTATCAATAATGGGAGGTAAGGATTCTTCATTTAATGAAGAATTTGGGGATGACGTAGGACAAACCTGTAAAATATTCAGATGCAACTGCTCTGCATTTTCCATTCTATCAGCAATAGCAGTTGGAGTACACATCACTGGTGGATTCAACCTTGGTACTCCATATTGATTAGCTAGTGCTGCTGCAGTTTGCTGTGAAACTAAATATGCCAATGTGGGATTTGGCATCATTAAAGACGCCATTAAATGCTGATGTTGTAGATAACGGTCATAAAGTAAAAACTGCTGAAGTAGTGATGCCTGTTCTTGTAAAAGACTTGTGTTTGTAAGCATGCTGATGTCACATAATGGTGATGCTGCTGGTACACTAGTGGATTGAGGTATGAAGTTTGATGCATTGACATTAAGCACAGACTTGTTTGGTAGTGGCGACTGTAGGTGTGACTGGCCGCGTATTTCGGTAACAGTTTGTTCTGGTAGTGTAGATCCTGTAGGAGAGAGAGATGACTGCCTCCAAAGTTTTGATCCCAAAGAGAAGCCTGGTGGCGGGCGGCTCACTGTGACTGTCAAAGGTGCAAGGTCTGCCTCAATCTATAAACATGATACAAGAAAGTTCTTACCAATTATTACAGTTCAACAGGGTTCATTTTGTATGACAAATATTAATTTAAAAAATTCAGGTTAGGTTAATTACCTGATATATATGTTTAACTAATAGTTGTTAAAATATATCTAAAAGTGGATTTATGCCTTCATTTAAGTGGTAATCATATGTTCACTTCTGACCCAAACTGAATTCAGTTGATAAATTTCTGTATTTGGTATCTGACATCATCCAGTTACAGTTGCAGTGTAGTGAAAGAAAGGGTGAAGTATCTAAATGTAACATTTTAGAAGAAGAAACTACTTCAGGCACAAACTTAATATGGAACTATATTGAAAGTATTGTGTTTTAATGACAACTTGGTTTTCACTTGATCTATTTATTATACAGAATTTTGTGATGCATTCATCTCATTGTGACCAAATTCTTAAAGCATATAAATAATGTGTACAAAAGTCAAGAATTGTTGGTTGAGAAGATAATGTAATGTTCACAGCAGTACTTTGATACCTACTTTCTGCTCAACTAAAATAAATAGGATTTTGATGACGAAAATGATAACGTACATTTTGGATCTTAGCTCTTTAGCCCTGCAGGACAAGGTGACATGGTATGGGGACATGGAAAGCAACAGAGCCAATCACGTCACTGCACAACTAATATCCAGCCTCAAATATGCCTCTGCAGTGAGAAGCTGGTGACTAACAGTTTGTGCTCTGTAATGTGGACAGGATCTGTCCTCAGTGAATTATATTCAAGTTTAGTAATATTGACAAACACTACAGTAAATCAGCATGTTGACTTCACAAGCAGAGCAAATGCAGACTCAGTCAATACCTTCAATCTGAATAATAGATACGTTTCCTTCTCTTTGCCACTACCAACAACGTCTGTATTCCTTAGAGGGCTACAGAGCTTAGTTCTGGACAGTACTATGTCATTAGTGCTTAAAAGGCAAAACAGGCAAACTCTGAGTGAATGCATGTCACTTGACAGGTTAGCTTCTAGCAGCAGAAAACATGCACTTCATCAAAGATTCTTCCATTATAAATGGTTATGGATTCTTTCAAATTAAAATATTGTTCTCCAGTGCTCCACACAAATTTACTGGATTATCCAAAAAAGTGTTTAAACAGTGACCAGAGTTATTAATTTGAACAGGAAATGGGACTGGGAGGAAAGAAGAGACACTGTACTAGTGACAAGCTTTTATTACATTCAAAATTCTGTACAATCCAAACCAAATATCAGGTCATATCTTTATCTTCATTAATCACTTAATGAAGCATTTCTTTTCCAATACGAATTTCTTAAAATTAGTTTGAATTTGAAGTGATGAAAATTTTGTGATTAAGACAAAGATTATCTCCTTATCAGGTATTAATAAACAATTCAAATAAAGATGGGGATTTTTATGTAGGGCTATCATGACAGCCAGTGCTGAAATTTCCACCAGGGATCAGGGAATTAAAGACTTAATACAAATTCAGCAAAAGAGAATAAAAGAAGCTTAATAATATATCTGTGGATAATATCAACCAACAAAGGCTGCCACTTTACTTGGAAGTCCAACTTTTAAAAACATCTTACTAAATATTCAGCATAGTGAAACTGTATTAAACATAATTTTTAGAACTCAACAAGATAACACTGTATGATATTAACATTTCTTTAATACTGTAAGCCATTTCTGTGCTATAAACCATCAAATAATTTCTGTGTCACTGTGAGATACACTAACATAAAACATGCAGTACACTTTCCAAGTGTGTTTGGATAGGATGGGAGGCCCAATCTCTTGACAAAGTAAATTATAAAATATCTAACATTAATTCACATAGAGAATTTTCTCAAACCAGGATTCAATTATTAATCTGAACAAGGAAGTAAGTTACTGATGTATTGTACCAAAGTTTCTTTGGCTGTTTACCCTCTCAAAAAAGTATTTTCTCCATACTGATCAACAAAGTGAAAAATTCTTACATTCTTATATAGTGGAACATCGATATAATGTGGGTGTCGGAGGACAGCTTTAGTACCCGCATAACAAGTGTACAACATAAAATATATCTAACTTTATTTGGGGATATATTCAAAGCTGTGGTATATCTGAACCCACAATATAACTGGGAGCTTAAAACTTTGCATACCGTGTAGTGTATTAGAACATAAAATAATACAGTGTTAATAGTTTGTTTGTTTGCTTATTTTATGTTATAACTGGAAGCATTATATGAAGGTTTACTTACTCTGATTAAGTACAATGTCATGAAGCCAAGAAACATGTGAATGCCCTTCAATTTGTTTCTTTGACCATTCATATAGAAATAATTACGTATCCATAATAAAACTGTTTATAACACTGTATGGTCTGAAGTATAGATGCATAAATTTGCAACTGGCTGTAATGCAGAAGGGTAAAAACCACCAAAAACACTTCTATCATCCTGTTTACTTGGTAAGAAACAGCAACCACTACACATGCACATATGCTGAAGGTGTATTATCATGTAAAAGGAAGGACTAGAGGTCTTAACAATATATATTATATAATATTAAATTTCAGTAGCTGTTCCAAGAGAGTTACCCTTTGTGGTGGTGGTGATGGCAGCTTGTTTGTTTTATATTCTGCCAATCCTTCCTTTACTAGGACGTCATTAATGTGCACATCCTCATCACCACAGGTGTCCACGAGGGCTACTTCCAGTCTGCGAGCCTGTAGATATCACAAATTAGTATGAACAACTTCTTCATGACTTACAGAAGTGGGCTAGGAGGGAGTGAAAGTCCACTTCCTTCTAAGAGGCTTCTAGAGAAGAATAACTTATAAAAATATGTAAAGATAATAGAGGCAAAATAGAAATGAAGATATAGGATGATGATTTAGGCTGATTCCGGGCTGGATAACCATAGTTATTGACAAGGAAAAGAACTTTCATCTTCATCATGATGATCCATATCAGCTCTGAGACCCACCCAGTGTCATATCAAAGACTCTTTCATCAGAAAAAGCATGAAACTCACCTTTATTGCATAGCACAACTTTATATATCGATATGTGTGAGTGGGTGAAATATTAAAGTTCTAGGAGATGTGTGAATATTAACAAACATAATGTTTAACTCAAATTAACAGAACAGACAATAACAAACTCCCAAAACTTGGTCTACTGTACTAACCAAAGAGACCTACAAAAAAAGTCAAAAGATAACTACAAAGCTAGAACAGGCTTGAAGCTAATCTCTGAACTGAAGAAGATGAACGTGAATTTTCATGTGTAGTTACTCATCCACAATAAATGGTCATTGTATTGTGACTAGTCTAAATCATCTGAAACCCTTCAAAGTAAAGAAAAATCATTAGGATATTTAAAAAGTTCTTCAGTTCCTGATGGGTAATTATAAATATTCTATCCAAATCACATGCTTATTCCTCAAACCCAGAAGTCTAGAAACTTTATTACACAGTCTGCTACACTGCATGAAAATGTCAATCTTGAACAAGGGAAAGGAAAACTGTTTAGTTCTTTCCATAAAATCCCATGATTTCTAGCAGTACCATTTCTTTACATTATATTTAAGTTCTGAGCTCATCTGCACTATATAGAATCCAAAATGCTGGTCCTCACAGGGAGCGGACAACAGACTGGGAACACTTAATTAATTTAAACTTTCTATCATAATTTGAAATGTTTACAATTACCTTTCTTGCTGAAACCCGAAAGAGTACTAAACAAATATAAAAATATTACAGCAGTTTCTAATGTGAAATTAAATTATTGGTGCTAAAATGAGCATAAACAGTATTCGTCAACACCACAGCTTGGGCAATCAGACCTGTTTGAACTCCATAATCTTTAAAATTAATTTAAAACAGCATAAAAATATTCAAAATTATGATCAACGCAAAACAGATTTTGCATGCAACAGTGAAACATGTTTTGCAGAATGTTGTCATTTGACCATTATTCCTTATAAAAACTTATCTCACAATCACCTCAGTTACACATATGGGATCACACATCACATCTGCAATATTTGTTATATGCTATATAGAAACAAGAATTACTGATAAGGTTTCTTATAAGCTCTTTCTGAATTTTTCAGTTATGAAACACTTTCTTGGTTTCTGTTATTCAAACAATAGAGAAAGGCAACCAAGCAAGCAAGTAAGAATTATTATGGGTGAACAGACAATTGGTAAATGAGAGGTAAGAAACAGTAAAGGCAAATGTGGTGCCCAAAGTTTGGAGGACAGCTGAAAGAAAAAAAACATGGAAGATATACAAACTTATTATTATTGTTGAACAATTTCAGGTCTAGTCATAAAATGTAACCAATTTATTCCAGCAAGAATAGATAGTTTTGATCAGAAATTATTTTCTTAATATCAATGTCACACATGAATCTTAAGATTATTAATTCTGAATACTTCGGTTGATCCTCAAGTGAATTCTTCAGGCACTTTTATCAACAAGTGAGCACCTATTTTTCAAGTTAATTTGATCAAGACACATGCCCCTGTTCAAGCTTCAAGGCCTCTTGAATGTGTCAATACATTTTATACACTGGAATCTTTCTAGGTTTATGAGTTGCTTAACCATTGACATTTTATAAAGAAGTACATACTTATTAACATTACCTCATGATCTACTGATGAGACAACAGCAATGAGATTCTTGTCAGACACCAGTTCAAGAAAACGTATATTGACTTCATAGGGCCATTTTTTAGCACCATCAGCTGGCATTAGGTTGACAAGACTAGCTTTAATTGCTTGCACTGGAAAAGTACTAAAATCCTGGTGCATGAATAACAACTCATTTTTCTTCACTCGACTTGAAGTACCATAATCAACAAACAGAACCTGCAACAGGAAAACCAATGGACTCAAAAATAATTGTATTTGAGCCTTAATTACACTGTAGTGTTATTTTCTTATACTGCATACATGCACTGTAAATACTGATTTTAATCTTCTTTATCATGTGTATCTTACATGCTATTTGCACAACATACGTAAGATGAGCACATAATGGAGATACCATGCCAATTCACAGGCTTCTTCTCTAAAAGTACATATTGAAATTTGATGACTTTCAATATTGGAGAATGTATACTAAAAGTTAAGTGATTATGGCCCAATTAAAGGTAATATCTCAACACTCACATGGAGGGACTGAGGAAGACCATGAAACACTTCAGTCATGGTAACTGTTTTTCAAATCAAGATTTGAATCTGGGAACTCCTGAATACAAAGTACAAGTGCTAACCACTCAGCTGCTACATTCAGTACCAATCCAATATAATTCTGACTTTACAAGAAACTCAAATCAATTTTTTAATTTTTCTTCAAAAAGCCTTGATGTAGAAATGATTGGGACATAATATATGACACATATTTAATCAAAATCTACTATAGTTTCAGTTCAGTGTATAATTCATATACAGTGTGACATCTACAGAGTCATTAGCCTTGCTAAAATAGATCCATATTTACAATATATGAATATCAAAGCCAAAGACCTATGCAAAATTGAAATTAATATATTTGAAAAACAAAAAAAAAAATAAACTACACTCAAGCTGCCAGACTTTGTAGTTGTGAGGCAGGAGCAACACTAATGCCATATATTTTGTGAAAAATCATTTGAGATCATTTCTCTAAACTGAAAGCACAATTACTCTGTACATAGTGAAAATGAAATTGTTTTAAAAATATTTCTACAATTCCAATTATTTCTGAAACTTTCTTATAAACATGAAAATACTGTCTTAGGGCGGCCGCACACCAACTGCATCAAGACAAGCATCAAGACATGAGACAAAAGACGCAGTCTTCCTTCATTCGCGATTCAGACTCGAGTCCGCACACCACAGTAGCACGTGTCTGCGTCTTATCACATCTTCTCTAGTTGATGACATGACGTCATCCAGTGAGGAAGATATTTTAATGTACATGTGGCTTAAATTACGTAAAAGAAGGAAAAGGAAGTGGATTCATGACTCTAATGAGTCATTAGCTCATTAAAATAAAATTAATCAGTGCACTTATCATCTATGTTTACTTCTTTTGAAACTGCATGCCAAGCTTTATCAACCTCCTCCTTGTTTTAGTGGCCCGGGGATGAATAATCGTATATTACCGGGAATTTCTCAACCATCTGTACTATTTTAATATTTATTTGCTCTTCACTCATGTCGATAACGTACACTAGTGCTGTTCCTTGAGTACTGATGTCTCAGTCTTGATGCACAGAAAAGAAACATGCCGTGTTTTGCTGCACGTGTCTGCAGCATGAAGCTGACGTCAGCATCATGACTCAGACTGGTGTGCGGCGGTTTTCATAATCTCATTCGTTTCAACTGTGCTCCTTTCTTTGCGTCATATCGCAGACATCATGTCTTGACGCATGCCGGTGTGCGGCCTACCTTAGATTTGTAATCTTACCTGTGCATCAGTAAGATTGTGCACTGCAGTAATGCATGCACGATGCCATTCCTTATTGAAGGGAGCCATACAGTACTGACCAATTCTAATTGTTACATCTGGCATATGATAACATTTTGCTTCTTGATTATAGAATTCCCTAAAACACCAAACACAACTGAAGGTCAGTTCATAATACAGAGAATGATTCCTAAGCTGACATTAATACAAACATTGGTCAAAACTATGATGAGGATAGCTCAATCACAGGCTACAGGTTGGATGACTAGAATTTGATTCCTAGCAGGAGCTAGATGTTCTTTTCAACATGATAACTAGACCATTATAAGCCGGGATAGCTCAGTCAGTATAGTGACTAGCTACGGGCTGGACGGCCGGGGTTTTATCCCCGACGGGGGCAGAGGATGTTTCCTCTAGCCTCTGTGTCCAGACCAGCTCTGGGGCCCACCCAGCCTCCTCTACAATGGGTACCGGGGTCCTTTCCCGGGGGTAAAGCTGGCCGGGGTGTTATGCTGACAACTCACCCCCATCTAGTGCCGAGGTCAAGAAAGAGATGAGCTATACCTCCACTCACCCCAAGTGCCTTTATGGCATGTAGCGGGACAAACTTTACTTTACTTTACTTTAACTAGACCATTGCTCAAGCACACAAATGGGTACCAGTGAATTGTTCCTTGGGAGTAAAATGGACAAAGCTTGCAGGTGACTGCTCATCATCTAATAATTGAGGTCTAGAATGCATGATCTTTTACCTCTGTGCTCCCTATACACCTTTACAGTGTGGCGCTCAAACCACATACCTACTGGTCAAGACCTGATTCAGTCTGAGCTGGCATTTCTTTTTTTAAACACATCATAAGCAAACAACCACCTGTCATTGATGGTAACACTGTGGTTAGTGATGTTAATCTCTGTAATCTGAATGAGATCTGAGGTTCTCATGTTGGTGAAGATGTCAATGTTAGTCTTTTGGGTAATAATGCAGAGTGGACTTGTAGCGTGATACCAACATTTCAGAGCAATATACTGGCTACATATTCAGAATTGAAGTGAGGTTGTTGGTAAGTGGGTACATTTATATGGTTAGAGGGATTAAGCTGAAATGGCTACGGCAGACAGCAGATTCTCTGGGCTCTCAATCCACCTAAGACAGTCCTACCACCATGTCCAAAGAACCCTACACTGGTGGCTCCTTTACCCTTTGCCAGCACTACCTTCAAGAGCATTAGCAGGGTGGTGTCCAAACACAATAACAAAATGGCAGACCTCCTATCAAGAATACCCTCCAGCTTCCTTCAGCCTGTCAAAGACCAGGAGGCCTTCAAATTGCCAATTTCAACAGCAGTCAGACAAACTAAACACAATTGAGAGGTTGGTCAAAAAGCACCACCACCACATCCATTTCTACTGTAAGTCCACTGTGGGTGAACACAGCATAAACCTAGGCATCACATCCAACTGCAAACACCAATATTGTGGCCACATGCATTGAATGGACCTTCAGGTAAGTAACAGAGACTGAGATCAATCCCAATAACATGAACAGGAGGATGGCTGCTCTCTCAGTAAAACATGAAAACCTGTCATACATGCCTTGAGGGAATAAAAGCAGGCTCTTGCTGAGTACATGACGTGTACTTCCTTCCAAGCCTACTCTACTACACTATTTAAAGATGCCAAACCACATTTAAACCATATTACTACCGGACAATAGCACACATTACTGAATGAGGCTGACTGGGGCAGCTACAGCAAGACAGAGAACACATAACATCCCATGTCACTATACATTTAACTGAAACTCACTGCTGAAGATACTCTTGATCTAAAGGTTAATAATTTTCAATGATGACACATTTCTTCAAAAGTGTTCATATTTTACATTAGGGATCATATACTAGATACATGAAAGATAAATGTCAAGTTCTGTGTTGGTTTCTAAAACTTTCTGCATGTTTTGTATATGAAAATTCAAAATCCATTATCTTTATGCACAGAGTAATGAATTTGGAATGTACTTTTATGAAAATACAACAAACAAAAACATCATTAAATTTTATATTGTTTTATGGACTATTACCATCTAGGACATAAGAGACACAGAGGGACAGTGACACTTATCAACAACTTTATCTATTTTATTTTACAGGATTAATTGCATACGAAACACTCTGACAAACTGTATAAAAAGAAAGTCAATGCACAATATCAACACTCTAACACCAACTGTTAAAATGAAAACAAAATATTACTGCAAGGATAAGTACAATCATGCAGAAGTAAAAAATCTGAAATGCTTTATTGTAGAACAACTGAGCAGATAAAAAAAATTATTCCAAATGCAAACTGTTATGTTAACTGTGTTTATATAAACAAAGTGTATTCTCCTAAAAATGGATATATGTTGAAAAAATTATATGTGATATTAATTGTTTGTTCTAACAATGAAAACCATGTAATACAAATTAAGAAAATGCTTTATTTAATGGTTGCCTAATGACTATTATTATGTATACAGGATGAGTCAGAAGCATGTTTACAAACTTCATGTGCGTGTTCCGGGATCAAAAATAAGAAAAAATGTTCCTATGAACATGGGGTCGCAAATTTTTCATTTTCGAAATAATAGCCAAAAATAAGTTTCAATGAGTTGACTTTATATGAAAGTGAATCCAGCTTCCAGCAAAAATTTTAAATTAACGTTTGGGCAGGAATTGTTGGCGACATGCTTATTGGTCCACACATGCTTCCATCACTTCTAAGAGAAACTTCATATCGGTACTTCTTAAGAAACACTTGCCACGTCTCCTTGAAGATGTACCACTGAATACAAGAAGACAAACGTAGTTTATGCATGACAGAGCCCCAGCACACTTCTTCCATCGTGTCAGATATCATCTTAATGAACAGTACCCTCAGCGATGGATTGGGCGTGGTGGCCCAGTAGCAAGGCCACCGAGGTCACCGGACCTGACTCCATTGGACTTTTATCTGTGGGTTCACTTGAAGTCCGTCGTTTATGCAACGCCCATAAACAATGATGACAACCTATGAGAATGTGTGCAGAAAGCATGCCATATGATTCGAGGAAACCCTGGTGTGTATGAATGAATCCGTCAGTCTTGTGTACGTTGTGCTTGTGCATGTGTGGAGAATGGAGGAGCAACCTTTGAGCATCTGTTATAAAGAAACATCTTTGTCCTTATACTTGGCAATAAAGGCATACATTGAAAATTATTTTTGGCTATTATTTCGAAAATGAAACATTTGTGACCCCATGTTCATAGGAACATTTTTTCTTATTTTTGATCCTGGAACACGCACACGAAGTTTGTAAACGTACTTCTGACTCACCTTTATATACAAATTAAGATGATTTTGAGAAAAATCTTGTTTGTAACTTTTCAGTATGGTTGTGTGCATTTGATTTTCTGTGTTCTATGTTACTGTGACAGTCTCGCGCTGTAGCCGCGTGGTCTGAGGCATCATGCTTCGGACTGGCAATACGGTATGCGCACTGGTTTGAGTCTTGGGGGAGAAGAAATTTTCTCATGAGCTTTCAACCAGTGTATGTGACCGGTGCCAACCCAGCATCGTGAGGAAATTGGGGAGCTACAATGAGTAGCGTAATCTGGTCAGGAAAGCTAGCAATGGCTGGGGGTTCATCGTGCTGACCACACGTCACCCTATATCTGGTTGGATGATCGTTCACCTCTGCTTAGGCATGTGAACGTGAGGCCAGCAGTCAAGCTAGTCGGCTTTGGCTCTCTGGAGTTGTTACGCCACGGATTTTTAATGTTACTGTGACAAAGATTATATGAAATATGAAACTTTACTGATAACAGAAGAAATTGACACTAATATCCAGTACTTACTGTATATCATTCATAAGTCTGTCCAGTGCCAAGTGAGTTTTTTCTCCTCTTAACAGTATCCAGAAGTTCTGAGGTGTATAAACCTCTGCCACCAACACCTCAAGAAATCCTCCTGGTGCAGTTTCAGGTGGTATATTCTCATATGGGATTGTTCCCTTTGGACCAACCACTTCAGGTTTATACAAGTCTGGAAAGGGGTCTTGTGGCTACCCACAAAGACAAATGCAGCATTACATAAATATACAAGCATGGTGAGTGATTCTATGCATATATGATGGATTTAAATTAGTGTAATCTGGATATCAATAATAGTTAGTGCCAGCTAAGTTATGTTGAATGGATACAGAAATGACAGGGGTGATTATTTTTCTGCTTCCTAATATTATCACAATTACTACTACTAAATCCAACAATGGTTGAATAATGCAACTTACTTATTACCTGCTTCATACTCAGGAGGTATCTGATTCAGATTCTGGCTAAGGTTTATCATTTACATATCATATCTATCATGTATTAGAGTGAACCTTTTGATGATGAAATGATGTAGGTAAATCAGTCCTTGTCAAACTGCATCCCACACAGAAGGCACTAAAAGTGGTCACCCAGGGCATCCACGTACAAATGGACATGATGCTGTAATCTCTTTGCATATGGTGATTTTTTTTTGTAATCAGTTGTTCAAGTAAACATTTACCTTCAGTAGTTACCATACAAAAATATTTGGTATAGGGTTTAATTAGGGGTCCTTGCCAGCCAGAGGTCTTCTGAGAAAACTCTGTCCTCGACACATACAGGCTCAATTAAAAATTGTGTCCAGTTGCCCATGGTATGACCACTTCAAGCACCTTATGTAAGGGAACACAATTTCACAAGGACTGAAATATGCACCTATATAAAAAATAAAAATATGTTATTTAATATAACTGGGAAAACTATAACAAGTCATAAACCTGGTAAATTATTTTGTTTACAGTGAAATTCTCTTCGTTTTAACACTCAACTAAAATACACTGTGGATCTTTTTATTTTGGTTTAAATCTAGTATTTTCTAATTTTAATTGTTCATGGATGAAAGACACATATTTACCAATGCCTCTGGTGTAAATTTTTCCTTATACCACTGAAGGGTAAACACAAGTAGTGTACATGTCAAGAATACAAAGACAGTTTTTATCAATGATGATATTTTACGCTAGTTTTAAACTTTACACAATCCCACAGCCTGTGCATTTTTCACATAATATGCCCCAAACAATGTGGCTGAGTT